CCCATATCCAGGGTATTCTGACACCCATATCCAGGGTGTCCTGTCCCTCATATCCGGGGTGTCCTGTCCCTCATATCTGGAGTGTCCTGCCCCCCATATCCAGGGTGTCCTGTCCCCCATATTCGGGGTGTCCTGTCCCCCATATCCGGGGTGCACACACACACACACACACACACACACGTGTCCCTGTGCCCACCCCTGCCCTCCCCTACCCGCCCCTCCAGCTCCCCCCGTGACCTCACCAACATTTATTTGCTGTTTTTTACAACGGGGGGGGTCTGGGCGGGGGTCCCCGTGGCAGTGGGTGCTGGACACACAGGCGGTGAGACCCCCCCTCCGTGCGCGGGCTACGCGGGGACAGCGAGGGGAGGGAGGGGAGGGGAGGGGAGGGGAAGAAAGGGGAGGGGGCGCTTCCCGTGGCTCTGCACAGGTGACGGACGGTCCCTTCTGCCTCCCCCCCGGGGGTGCCCCCCAGGGCCGCTCCAGTGGGGTCGGGGGGGCACCGCCCTTTGGCAGCGGTCGAGCGGGTGGCCACGACCCCCCCAACGAGGGCATCTCCCCGCGGAGGGTCCCTGCGAGACCCCGGGGGAGGGCAGTTGGAGGCTGGGGGTCCACGTGCCCCGGGGCGGCTCGTCGTGGTCCCCCCCCCCCGCGATATCCCCCCCTCCTTGCCCTCCCCAGTGCCTCCCCCCCGCCCCGGCCAAGTCCCGGGGGAGGCGAATCCCGGGGTTTTCCCCCATCCTGGAGCATCCCGAGGTGGGGGGGACACACCACGGAGGGACCCCCCCCCAGCTCCGCCGCCACCTCCTCGGTCCGGGATCGCGCTCCCCAAAAACAGTCTCGGAGGGCACCGGGGAAGGAGGTTGGGGATGAACCGGAGGAGGGGGCGGGCGGGCGGGTGGGTGGGGAAGGGGGTCCATCCGGTTGAAAGTCCCGCGGTGGAGCCTCCCGATCCCGGAGCCGAAACGGGGGGGGGCTGGATTTGGGTTGGGATTTGGCACACGACGCACTTTTACAGCCCTTCCAGGAGATCCCGGCGCTCCGGCCCTGCGGGTGCCTGCGGGACAGAGCAGAGAGCCCCTCTCAGCCCCCTCCCACGAGCAGGAGACCCCCCCCGGCGCTGGCGGTGCCCGTTTTTGGGGGGCAGCTCTCCCCCTCGGCCCCGCACCTGAGGGTCTATGTCACCTCCTCGGCCGTGTCCCCTGGCGCTGCCTGGCCCTGCTGCTGCTGCTCCTCGCCGGGGGCGGCCGCCGGTGCTTTCTGCGGCGAGCTCTGCTCCTGGTTATTCTCGGGGTGACTCGGGCCCTGCGGCAGAAATTTGGGGAGGGGAGGGGGGAAATGGGGTGCTGCTGAGGGACCTCCCGGCCCCGGGAAGCCCCCGTGGGACGCTCTGCCCTGGCGCAGAGCCCACCTTGCACCCACCTTGCCAGGACCCCGGGGTGACTCGGACCCCACTGTGGCCCCCCCATTGTGGCTGTGACACCAGTTTGATGCGGATCCGCCCCCCCAGCACTGTGGGGACCCCCACCCCCGGCCCCCAAGCCCCTCCGGGGGCCTCACCTGGTCATTACCTTCCGGGGGGGCTCCGGCACACGATGTCGGTGTACTGGGGCTCCGACGGGCTTTCCTCGGCGGCCACCGTGGGGGTGGTGGCTGCGGGGAGCCGAAGTGTTGCAGGAAAACAGCCCCTCCCCTGCTCCCCGAGCCCCTTCCCGCTCCCCCAGCCCCTCCCCTGCTCCCCCAGCCCCTTCCCTGCTCCCCCAGCCCCTCCCCTGCTCCTTCAGCCCCTTCCCTTCTCCCCCAGCCCCTTCCCTTCTCCCCCAGCCCCTCCCCTGCTCCTTCAGCCCCTCCCTGTTTCCCCGAGCCCCCTCCCCGCTCCCCCAGCCCCTTCCACGCTCCCCCAGCCCCTCCGAGACCCCTCGGGGAGGAGGGTGATGGGGAGAGGGGGGGTCTCCCCTTGCCTGGATCCGATGCCTTCTCGCTGTTCATCCTCCAGCACCAGAAGGCCCCCCCCAGGCTCACGGCCAGCAGGATGAGGGTCAGCACGATGTACCCCGAGGTGGAGAAGGACGTTGTTCCCCCTGGCAGGGGGCACAGAGAGGGGGGACCCTGAGCTGTGCCCACCCCCGGAACGCTCGCGGGTGCCCCGGGGCGAGGGTCTCACCTCCAGGGAGGGTCTCACCTCCGGGGAGAGGGGTCTCACCTCCGGGAGGGTCTCACCTCCAGGAGGGTCTCACCTCCGGGGAGGGGGTCTCACCCCCGGGAGGGTCTCACCTCCGAGGAGGGGGTCTCACCTCCGCCCTGGCAGATGGTTTGCAGGTCGAACAGGGCGACTTTTTGGTCGGCGGGGTTGCTGACGGTGCAGGCGTAGGTGACGTTGGCGGCCGTGGGGGGCAGGTTGACCCTCAGGGTGGTCCCGTCCGGGGACAGCTGGTGGCGGTCGGGGATCAGGTCCCCGGTGAGGCTGTCGCGCTTCCAGGTGACGTTCACGGCGCCTTTCCCGGAGCCCTGGCACTGCAGGGTCAGGTTGCACCATTCCACGGTGCTGGCCAGGAGCTGGCTGCGGGTCCGGGGGCTCGGCACCGACTCTGTGCCCGAGGAAGGGTTGGATCAGCGGGATTTGGCCACCTTGATGTCCCCTTTGAGTGACAGGATGTGGCCACCCTGCTGTCCTCACTGTCCCCTTTTGGGTGACACGATTTGACCACCCTGCTGTCCCCCTTGGGGAACAGGATTTGACCTCCCTACTGTCCCCTTTGGGTGACAGGATTTGGCCACCCCGCTGTCCTCACTGTCCCCCTTGGGTGACAGGATTTGACCACCCTGCTGTCCTCACTGTCCCCTTTGGGTGACAGGATTTGGCCCTTTGCAGAGTGTGAGGGGCTGCAGGGCCTGGGGTGCAAATGTTGGTGTCCAAACCAACCCTGGGAAAACCCCACAGTGGCTCCGTGCCTCAGTTTCCCCCCACCTATAAAGGGGTCGGGGTTTGTGCTCAGGGCTTTATATCTCTCCTCAAATCCCATCCTTGTCCTGTGCCTCAGTTTTCCAACCTGTCAAGGGGTCACTTCTCCCCCTCGGGGCTCTCTGTTCCCCTCCAACCCCATCCTTGTTCCGTGCCTCAGTTTCCCCACCTGTAAAGGGATTTAATGCCTGCACTTGGGGCTTTCAATTTATCCCCCAAATCCCCAAATCAGCGCCTCAGTTTCTCCACCTGTCAAGGGATTATTTCTCACACTCAGGGCTCTCTATTCACCCTCAAAGCCCACCAGAGCCTCGGTTTCCCCACAAGTAAAGGGGTCGCT